ATACAATCTAAAATCTCCGTTCTTTATAGACTTCATCGTTCTTTTCCAGCCGTCCTGGAAAAGAAAAAAAATAGAACGTGTGAGTGCATGTCGAAATACACTCGTACTTGCGTACGGACACAAGGTGAGCAGAAAAAAGTAAATAACTAATACGCTTGCGACAGCCTAAAAGCGATTGAAAGAAATTTTTTTTGTTTTTTTTAAATAAAAAATGATACCCATATTAGTAAAAAAATTGTTTTGTTTATTTTGGATTAAAAATATATAAATGAGCATATTAAACTTTTTTAATACTAAACAATGCAATAGAAATTCAGGATAAAGTTTGTGACCTACTTGCAATAGTCGTTTAAATGTTCTGGAAATCTTACTCTTCTTCCAGAACGCGTTGTCATAAGTTTATTTTCCGACGTTGACGAAGTATCAACGTGTGTGTCGGCTGTCGTGTGGAGCAATACAAGTGTAGGAGCCGTGTTGTTCGATTTTACCGAAGGAAAATCGACGTAGCTAGGGTTTCCTTCTAAGTACGCTGCTTTGAGGCGATCGATACGGATGCTATCGTTCGTGCCGTTCTTATCGACTGCATAGTACTTAGGTTCACGTTGAAGAACTTTGAAGGGTCCTTCGTATGCGGATTCGAGGGGTCGTCGATGTGAGCCTCAACGAAGAAATGTGTACTATGTCATAAGTCACGTTGAACGAAAACATCAGTTGATTGTGGTCGAGTGTAAGCAGGATATCTAGTAAAACGAATGGAAGATCGTCTGTTCATTGTGAAACGCTTGTAGCTGATAGAGAAGCTTTTAGTTGTCGATGAAAACGTTCTACCAAACCGTTTGCTTATGGGTGGTAGGCGGTCGTTCGGAAGCGGGTGATTCCTTATAGTGAGGCCAGACAACGGAAAAGTCCAGATTCTAACTGGCGTCCGCGGTCTGTAGTGATGGTTGAAGGGCAGCCGAAATTTGCTACCCATCGTTCCACGAAAGCGCAAGCCACTGTTTCATAAACTGTTACATAAACATTTAATACTTTATACATATAATTCCGTTCATTGTCTTGAAGATGGTTAAATAATATGGGGTCACTTTATTTTTTTAATGTTTAACCTACAGCTTACAAACTGTAGTTACAAAAGTCAAAACGATTAATTTAGTAAATTAGTTATATGAGAATATGTATAATAATGATGGATTGACTATTTAAATAAAGTTCATAGGATGCACTCTGAGAGAGATCGATCAATCGCATTTATTAATATTAACAACTTAGAGATGCAGACCCTCAGGAATAATGCAAAACTAATCTCCATTTCACAAGCCAGTAGTTATTTGAACACAGTAGCTCAGCGGATAACACAATGTGAGTTTAAAGCGAAAGATAATGGCTTTAGGTCTTAGTGTTTACATCCAGCTAACGAATCTCAAATAAGACCAAATGAACGTCCTAAATTATATTGTTACCCACCATGCAACATTGCTTATATACTCACAAAAATCGTTTAAGGTCATTGTAATTTAGACCGCAAGCACAGTCAGTATTAACAATAAAACATGGCATTATTTTTATGAAACTAGTGAATATATCACGTCTTATTCATATATGAAACATTATAATAAATATGCATTTCAATAAGTGAGTAGATAAATATGAGTGACTCGCCATTATTTCATACTGATTATCGTTTTCATACATTTTTTCTAATTTCCTTTCAATACTGAAACGTGTGTATCTTCAATGAAAAATGTTGGATAAATAATCTATCATATATATTTAAGATCGTTGATACACTAGAGCTTCGAAGTCGTTTACCATTCATGTATGTGTATCTTATTGTCGATAGATCGTGAAATTTATTAATGATTTATGTGTCAATTCACTGTGTAGACAAGGAAATTCATATATATATATACACACACACATAATAAAATTCACTAAACACCCCTCTTTTCGACAATTTATCACTGATGATCATGACAAAAGTAGATTATAGTTACAGAATGTCACGCACCAATTAAATCATTTTAATCTAAAACTAAGATTCATATTTAATTTTAGATGAAATTACGTTAATGAGATGAATAATGAAAACCAACTTATTACCGTTTTTTATTATTTCAAGTGTTGCCGAACTTTTTTTTATTTACCATAACTAAATATTCTACTTTATTAGTATTCGTAAGAGAAGACAGTATGATTGAAACTGATTTTTCACACTTTATTCATTTTATGACTGAGATAATGATTGTATAGTTCGTTTCTTTCATTAGTTAGTTTTTATTATTAATTTCTTACTTCTAGACGAAACATAATACATAGAGCAATAAACTTTATATTGAAACTTCACTTAGTATTATTTGTTTTAATCTTCCCATTGATGTTTAGGACTGTAACTGGTCAGTCTCTAATTGGCATATGTGCATACTGTGCGTATTGCGTATTGCAGTCCTAAACATCAATGGGAAGATTCAAACAAACAATACTAAGTGAATTTAAACTTCACCCCTCATTGCACAAGCAAGTGGCCATCAGGACTCAGTAGCTAAGTGGATAACGCGACGGTGTTTCAAGCGAACAGTACTGGGTTCGAGCCCCAGAGTGAGCATCAACTCTGAGATGCAGGTACATCCAGCTGATGAGTCCCAAATAGGACGAAACGCGCATCCTGGATTCCACTGCTAGCCACTATCCACCTTTATACAACAACGTTCGATTGAATTACTTTTTTAGATTTTAATAACTAGGGATGACTTCTTCAACATTCAGTGAAATATAAACATTTAATGAATAAAGATATCAATTTACTTAGAATACGATGCTGATAATTGTAGTATTTTGAAATACTTTATAAAATACTATTCATCTTTGACAACGACTAGAATAATCTTATTATAGCATTTTATTCAGTCTGTTGATAATAAAATGACCAGTTGATCATCTGTATTTCCAGTGGAAAATGATGACATTTAAATCCAATATAGTCGAAAGGAAATTGGACAGCTTATCATTACATTGAGTTATAATTCAAATCAAGAAAAATACAATTAATTATTCTTTCCTCGTTACCAGTAGCTCATCAACTCCTGTCAGTCGGTATAATAAGCGCCTTGATGTCATTAAAATGCAATAAATCATATATATACGTATATGTATGTGTTTTGTTTTGAAGCGGTACTCAAATGAATATTTCTATGGTTTCTACACTTACTGATCAAATTAAGGATTCACAAAATTATACATAGACAGGTTTAAAGCCTCAAATGTACCCATTTAAAATGACATTACAAAATTTACACTATGTAGATTAGACATTTTCTTTAAACTTGAAGTAGTAATTTTTATGAAAAAAATTCAGTCTGCTAATGCCGATTAAAAAAAGTATCATAGTGTCATTAAGAAGTGTTGATTAAATCAGAAAATAGACATTACTGAGAGAGAAAAACTGTGACATATAAAGTTGCTTAGCACAATGCCAGAAGAAATTCTTGTCTAAAAATTTGTCCGAAAAAAACTACAGATAAAGGTGCTGGTTTTACACGTTGTTTTTTGTTATTTGTATGCCAGCTTTCTGTGATGTTTTCAGCATGTAAAATTCATGCATTTTTCTTATTATGAAAATGACTGCAATAGTTATAACTGGCAAAATTTTAATGCATGCTAGAATATTTTTTTGGATAGAAGTGAAAAGAGATAAAGATGGTTGACTTCAGTAAACTCATATCAACTTGAAATGCGTGTAAAATGAGAAAGTAATAAGATTACTTACTAATAATAATATTACTTATTAACAGGGTAAGTACTAAATTTTAGTTCAAGATTATTGTGTAATATTAGAAGAATTTATAGTATCTATTTACAATGTCCCGGGTGCATTCACTCTTTTTATTCCTTTGGAACTTGAGTTTCTAGTTTTTTTCTTTCCACCAATCCATAATTTTTCGGATCGTATCTTTGATCCCTATACTTTGCTTTTTCACTAATGCTACGTCTACTACTATGGGATTTGCTCTTCTAATTTCTTATTACTGTGCTAATGGGGTATAGCAATTTCAATGGATGTATATATGTGCCAGGTTCTGCGTTGTATACAACCGGCTGATTGACTTGTTTGCAAAAACGTATACTGTCTCCAAATATTCATTATATTAACGATGTCATAGTAATCACTTCGAGTTTACTAGAACTTGTTATAAACTTAAGCGTGGTGGTCAAATTACAGTGAAGCTGTATAATTCACAAGAAATCGAAAATTATGAGATACTGAATATCCAATATATTCCAGTATAAATCCTTTAATCGGTATTCATCTCTTAATACTAAGCTTAACCAGCTCAATGACTATAATTTTTATCATTTTTAGTAGTTAAAATCAAACAAAAATGTAATTTTACTATGTTTGAATCACTCCATGGATGTTACTCTTTAATTCGTCAATATTACAATATCACAAGGGGGTTTTGTAGAGATTTTTGTAATTTTATATAGTTAAGATCATGAGTCAGTTGAAGCTAGACCACCATCGAAAACCTGGAAGCACTGGACGGCTCACTAGTGACTGGCTCCATGAGGTAATTCCTGGAGTTCTAGTGATAAGCCGTGGCCAGTGGAGCTAATCCATATCAGGTAGAGACAGGTATCTACCTCAGTACAATGGACGTTGGTTGCGCAATTTCGTGGATTGGTTGAGGTTAGACATTAACACCGTCGGATGCCGGCTCAGTGGTCTATCGGTTAAGGGCTCGGGCTCGATATCGGTAGGTTATGGGTTCGAATCTCGCGAGAGCGGGATCGTGGATGCCACTGCTGAGGAGTCCCATAATAGTACGAAACGGTCGTCCAGTGCTTCCAGGTTTTTGATGGTGGTCTAGCTTCAACTGACTCATGATCTTAACTATATAATATTACAATACATAGGAATGTTATTAACCTTTAATTTTCATTTCAATCAATGGATAATTCAATCAACACTAAGTAATTTATTCAAATCTACATACAATCAATAAATAGATAACGTGCTTATACAATAGTAGATTACTATCATATGTTATATCAGCATATCTGTATCCTAAGCATAGTTACTACAAGTATAATTTTTATTTATGCACTCATTTCATTGAGATTACCATTGCCTACAAAATGTTTACCCAATTTAAGTGGGGAAGAATTCATCATAACTGAATCTATTCAAAAAATCATTCGAAACAAATCTTATATTGAAATATATGACTGTATTTTATGTCTATTTTATTGGTTAAATAAATATATTATTACTGTATTTCCTCATAAATTTGCATTTCATCGGCATTGGTTATACAGAAAAACTTCAAATATAATTTGGGATTTAGTTGTCAAGTCATTCATTTGGTTTACAACACTCTCCTCCATTTATATATTCATAATTTTACTTGATGAGATTGGTTCGTTTGACAATTTAATCATGATACATTTTAAAAAAATATTTGAGAAAATTCATTCAAAAGACATAAATCGTAAGTACTCTAATTTTATTTCTGTCTTGATCGTTTGTATACTTTGAGTATCTACAGAAAATGTCTACCTATCTAACAGCTGGAAATAAATGTGAGGTTTATGTTTTCAATGAGATACTACTTATGTTATCGTCAAAATAATACGACTAAATGATCTAGGAAATAAATATATAAAAATTTGATTGATCTTGAATCGACTAATGATCTAGTTTAAATAATGTAAACGGAACTTTTCGATGTTGGTTTGTTCTCTGAGCTGGATGGTTTGGTCGTGGAGCTATCATCGTCCTTCTGAACGACATCATCAGCACAAACATCGGGTAGAAGTGAAGTGTTTGAATTTCTCCACATGTGATTCACAGCTTGTCCTGAGCTACAAATCTTCTCCACGGAACTTTTCGTTAATTTTTACATTTTTGTCATGTTTATATTTGGTATAGTATTCCGACAACAAAATGTCATTTTAGACACAATCCAATGAAGAACTACGAAGAAACCTAAAAATTTTCCTGATGAAGTTTGATAAAGGATCAGGTGTGGTTATCATGAACAAATATGAATAGAAAGGTAAGACGTTATCCATCCTCAGTGATGAAAGTAATTTAATGCCTGAAGTTGAATTCTAAGGTATAAGTAAACTAGAAGGAAGAATAAACACAGACCTATTGAATATTATTGATGATAAAGGACTTGGTTTTCTAAAACGAAAGGCTTCTGAGTATCCCCATTTTTATACTTACTGACGTCTGTCACCCCTTGCGGAGGAGCATGGACTACCCATCAGCATTCTCCACCCAAATCCGTCTTGGGCAATGTTTTCCAGTTCTTTCTGGTTGCTATACATCCATTTCATATCTGCTTCTATTTCCCGGCGTAACGTGTTCTTCGGCCTTCCTCTTTTCCACTTCTTTTCCGGATTCCAAGTTAGGCCTTGCCTCGTGATTCAATTTGGTGATTTCCTCAATGTGTGTCCCATCCACTTCCAACATGTTTTCATAATTTCCTCTTCAGCTGGAAGTTGGTTTGTTAGCTGGAAAATAGCTAAGGTTTTGTATTCCTATATGAGTATGAATAATAGACCAGTAACAATTGTAGATAACACTTTTTTAGATAATTCGTTAGAGCAACTCTGTAAAATATGTTGACATTATCGAACTAAATAAATTGTTTAATGCTTACAGTAATTTATTGATATAGTATATCTTTGCAATTAAAATTAGGTCGATAGGAAAACTCCATTTTTATACTTGGTTACTGTTAATAATCTTAGCACTAAGGTTTATTGATTACAATTATTTAACTATATGATGCATGTAATTATTTAAAAACTAAGGTGTACAATTAGCTCTATATATCAGTGGCCGATTTTTCTTATCATTCATGATAAGATGGCGTTGATAGACTCAAATGAATCAATGAGATTTTGATTAATATCTGTTTATTTAAATGCCGTTGTATTGGATATATTTGAAAAGCTATTGTTACTTTTGACCTATACTACAATGGGTTTAAATGCCTTATGATATACATTAGCTCACAGTCGTTAAACAATGAATTTGGTGTACGACCGAATCTATTCCAATTTAATTGATTTTACAGACCATAGCTGTTTTTACAGGAGTTTATAAACATTTATATTGAATATGGTCGATATCGAGCTCGTAAATTTTATTTGATTAGGTGGCTTACAACAAATAATTTATGTTGACAAACATTTCTAACCTGAACTTGGTTCTAGCTCGCTGAATAGATTATTTCGTCCTCGATAAAGTAAATAATTCTTTTTGGTTCTGTTATTGGGGAATCGAGTGAAACAGGTGTCTAGAGTTTCTTGTTTGTCAAAAAAATTTTCATCTAGTATACACTTACATAATTGGGCCTAATCTCCATGATCCAACATCGCCAGCGAAATTAAACAATGTATAGGTTTATTCTCTAATAGATGCTTCTTTGTTATATTAATTGTAAATATTGTGGGTCTGTTTGAAACCTTCTTCTCCAAGCTCCATTATGTATAATATACCTAACATTGTAAAATTTCTTCGCTTATTTTAGATGCACAATGTCTTCTGTCTAGTGTCCCATAAAAGTTTTCACTATTATATATATTGTAAGAATCATGTTTTTTTCGATTTATCTTAATGAAAATATCTTAATATTTAAAATGAAATTGAAAAATAAAGTTAATTTTGACTGGTTATTCAACGAAAAATTTAAGTATGGATTCACGTCAACCACGGATCCATTGAAGATTGAGATAAACGTTGTTGTCTGATGTAGGAAAATAAGTGCCAACCAATTTTCAATAACTCTCAACTCGATAAAAGTTTTATTAAAATTATTTTCATAAATCAAATATTTAAAGAATTACAAATTTTAATCCGTTTCCATGTTGATTTTTAACTAACTTTGTTCTTTAGATAAGATCTTACTCCAATATAAGATGCTTTAAACTTAGTGTGTTTTAATTTATCAGTAAACGTTACTTCACTATAGTTCAATTAGCTTAAAAGATAAGCTATAATTAATAATAAATGAAACTGAAAGATTTAGCTGAAAAGTGCTTATCGACTTGTTCATAACTGAATAAATAGTGTTCAACTTAACTACTAAACAACAATTATTAGCATTACATCTCTTTATTATCATTCATCGAATTTTAATTTAATTAAGAAAGTAAAGTAATTTAATACAACCATGAGAAGAATGTTGTGTTTTCTGTTCAAAACAATGATCAACAAAACCATAAATCCATATCTTATCCAAACGTATGCTTAAAATTAAATGTCAACTAAAATTTTGTGATATAGTTTACATTGGCAGATTGTGTAAAACTTCGATTCAAGCTGTCCTACTGATCACCCTACATCACATAAGAGCTATGACTTTCAAAATTTAAGATACAATATTATTCATGCCAAAATAGACACCAGCGAAAAGTTATTAAACTGATATTAGTTATTATAAAAGAAATAGTATGACATAATTGTGCAACCAATATAAATGAATTACTATAAACTTTATATATTGCTTGAATATTTTTTTCTGGTTAGCGTTTTTTATAGCGAGTTGGTTTTCTACGGGATGGTGTCACTAACCCCATGGCCAACTCTCCTCTTTTATCCAGGCTTGGAACCAGCAGTAGCCTCCGGAGGAATGATTTGAATGTGACCAACTTGGTCTCGTGTGCAGTTAAGGGTATGAGGGCTAGTATCACTTCCCGGCTGCCCACACCGTGGAAGGATTTCTGATTATACTCCTATTACTTCTACCACTATGTGATTTGAATCGACAACTGCATCTCTGTGCTAATGTGGTATGGCAACTCGAACTGATGTACGTACGTACGAAGTTCTACGTTGTGACTGACTGACTGACTGACCGGAGGAGCTACAGGCGGAGTTCATATATTTATTAAACAACTCTAAAGACAAATGTACAGCCTACGCAAATGATATCATCCACAAAAAAAATTAACTTGCTGAATTATTTTCATTTTTATCCATTGTGATACAACGGATTAAATTAATTAATAACTAAATCCCCTAAAAATCATATATAAAAATAAATAAACTTTATAACGGTAAGTATGAATTGTGTTTCAAAAGACTAATCATGATCCCGTATTTGTTTAGTAAGTGTAAATGAACCATGAACATTTCTAACATTTGCATTCAAATTAAGTTCACTGAGTACAGTACTGACAGCCATTTGACGTATTTTCGCTGTAACAAATGCAACAAGTAGTATACATTCACCCCAAACCCCTGGATAAGTTCTAAACCATGATTGGCTGTAGTTAGACGATCTCTCTTTGATGATGTATCAGACAAATCAATAAAAGGATATTTTGATGATTGATGATTAGATATTGGAACTTTAAAAATATTCTAAAATTTATCTTCAATGACAACAGCAGAAGGGCGAGATAAAAATGTTTGTATACTAGGGTTCCATGGATTTGTGAATGAAGTCTTATGATTTTGACTGTTAACTTCTTTAGAACCGATCAATTCATGGTCTCTGTCTATTTCTTCATTTAAAACACGATATGTTACAGTAGGTTGGAGAATACTGGTCGGCGGCCTATGCTCCATTGGGAGTAACAGGCGTAAGTAAGTTATAAATTGATTAAGGCCACACATTATTCATGACAATAGTATTATTAATAACGATAGATATAAGTGCTTATCAACAAACGTAACTTTATTCACTACTAATATATTTAGTGTATCTAAATTTATATTTTTTCTCTCCTTACTATGTAGAGATGATTGACAGATTTTATTTTTTTTCATTCAATATTTTAAGTTTATAAAACGTTTATTTCAGTCATGCATTTTCCTCTCTTAAGTTTTATCAAGTTTAGACAAAGATAAATAGGACCTATCAGAAATATTCAATTATTTAACAATCACTTCAGAGTAGATTTGGAATAATTCATGTCAAAAAATAGTAGTAAATTAAATTTTGAATACCTGATAATCAAACGGAAGTTTATTATTCAATTGATAAGATAAAGCTTTTAACAGATATTACTTACCTACTTACTTATGCCTGTTACTCCCAATCGAGGATAGGCCATCGATCACTATTCTCCAATCCTCTTTGTCCTGGGCCTTCCTTTCTAGTTCTATCTAATTTTTGTTCACTTTTCTCATGTCTGTCTCGATTTCTCAGCGTAATGTGTTCTTTGGTCTCCCTCTTTTCCTTTGGTCTTCAAGATTTCATGTGAGGGCTTGCCTTATGACGCAGTTTGGTGCTTTCCTTAATATGTGTCTTATCCACTTTCAGAGCTTCTTCCTGATTTCTTCCTCCAACTGAAATCTGGTTTGTTCTCTCCCATAGTAAGTTGTTGCTGATAATGTCTGGCCAATGGATCCGAAGTATTTTCCGTAGACAACTGTTAACAGATATACTTTGGCACTAAAACATGTTTGACATTATTTCTAGGACATTTATCACTAAAACATATGCATAAACTTGATAACAGTTTTGTTTCTAAGCTAATACTTGTTTAACTAAAGGTTTTTATGGAACACAAATGTCTATTCATTGAAATCTATCGGTCTTTATAATAAAGTCATTAAGAAAATATACATAAAGCAAAAAAATATATTGATGTTCCCTGATATATTTTTTTCAAAACATATTAAATTGTGTTATGTAATAGGAATGCTTGTTTTTGTCAACAACAAAAAAACTCAATCCAATATGAACAAAATAATTCATATAAATTAACTGGAAAAATGTCCGCTAATCACATTCAGCACTTTGTTCATATAGTCACCATAACGTAAGTCATTCATATTTTATTCATAGAAATGAACTAACAAAATATATGCGATGTATATTCATTCACGCCATAAATTATAATGTAGTTGATTTATTCTATCACTCCCTTAAAAATATATATCTTCTATACATTGAACAAACTTTCCATTTCCGTACGAAATATTTCATTTTAATATTAACATATTTTTGTTTTAAACACATTTATTCCCTTGAATATTCAAAAAATATATGACTTAGCTGAGAAAAAAATAAAATGAATATATCATAAAGTACAAGAATATGACACAAGCTCTTGGATAACTAGAGTTAAAGGCAAAAATGTATAGTATGATGAAAGTATCAGGCAACAAAATATATCAGTTTTGTTTCCCGTTTCTTTCATTGTTACTGACTGAAACATCATTTGATTTGGATAGTGTTTCGATGAATTACAATTCAAAGTATTGTACTAATGATACATTTGGTGTATATATTTTAAGGATATTGATTTTGAAGGGTCTTGATAATTCTAGAGGGACGTCAATGTCATAGACTAATCAAGTTTTGATCACAGGTACGACGAGTGGCTTAATTCGTACACTAATACTCCTAGTTCATGAAGTTTCTTTTCTATACTACGAACATTTGTATATTAGACTCCTAAAGAGAATGACCTATCCATTCTAGTTCAACTAGTTCCGCATTTATTTTCATTCTGCCTGCTGGAGACACGTAGGGTCTTGCTCAAGTGTTGATGTTGTTGTGATTTCGAGATTTAATATACAAAAGACTTCGTTGTTCCTCTGACCCTATGATTATCTTGAGGAGTCTATTTGGTCAAAGTTCAAAATTTTCGTCTGTCCTCTTACATATTAGAACCAATTTTTCGACATGAACTCTTTTAGAGTTATCTGTTGAGATGCTAAGAATCAATGCTCCCACCTTTGCCAAATCATGAGCGTGTCTAATTTTTGAATCAGGGTCTGTTGATTCTAGCAGATTACTTAACATAATATTCGATGAGATCGAGCATTTTACGGCCACGCTAGGGTTATTTTTTTTATTTATTTATTTAAACACATAAATATTGGTACAAGGAAGCACCAGATAAATATACGCCTCACAAATCTCATTCGATTTGTGTGAGGGCTGTGATACTGCTCAGGTGCCCAGACTGAAGCAGGTGGTTTTCTTAGGGGGCCACACCCGGAGCCTTTGACCTGAATTTCTGATCCTCAAGGCAGTGGAGCATCGTGAGGAGATGCAGTCCCATTGTAGCCAGTGATCAACGGTTGATTCGTACGCCATTTGTTCCCTCAGGATACTGGAGCCCATGTGCACCATTGGTTTGGAATCAGGGTTTTCCAACTCCCCTAGGTGAACTTTCCATGTCCACCAGCTCGGTTAAAGCGCCGGACATTCGCTTTTCGTCCTCTCACTTTCGTAAACATTACCCCCGCCACGAGAAGGCAGTGAGTAGGACTTCCCTGGCAGAGGCTATATATTCGCTGGCCATATGAGAGCATTTCGAGAGGGAGAGGTGACTCTCCCCACTCTCGGTCGTACCAGGGCATTTGGGGGCTAGGGTTAAGTTCAGTCTTATTTTGGGACTTCGATAGTGTGTTCTGTAACTTAGAATGAGAGTCTGCCAATGACTCATCAACCAAACAGGCGCCGTTTGCAGATTTTTTTATCTCATTTCTTTGTTTCAGCTCTGCTGTTCATCTCCTACCACTTGGGATAGACACATTGGGAATGGTGACCGTCTTCAGGTACTGCTTTAGAATCGTGTCTACCAATATCCAGTGGTTTTTCACCTTTTTTCGAGCGTGACTTTCCTTTTCCATGTTTCACAGTCAGGCGTTTGGTTTGTCCCGTAACAACACGTACTACACTGAAACATCCTTTGCTGTTAGCACCCAATTTACCAGTGCGGCCAGCATCAACTTTCTTGCTTGCCAACGGTGGAAAGCCCATCGTCTTTTACTCGAATAGCATAGCATTCAAAGCCAATGGGAAACAGGCTTTAAGGATCTTTTATATGAGGTGGGATTCAAACGGGTACACATTTTTCGGAACCACGTTTAACACACATTACATCGCATTTCCTCCTCCACAGGGAAGAAAAAGTTTCGTCGTCCGTATTTGTAAGTACAGCCGACCGTTGTGAAATGATTTAAAGAGGAAAAAAATCAACAAAAACGCATACGTTAATCGTTAATGCGAGAATCAATTAAAAAAGAAAACCATAAAATAGGTTTGAGGGAATTTCATACCTGAACCGCGATCATCCATGTTAAAGGATATCAAGTATCCTTTTGATGCAGTAAATACACAAAAGCAAAGTTAATTCACAACAACTACCAAATCATCGCAATTTTTCATAATGCACTCCAGATGTAGAAGTATGTGGTAGGTGTTGCGATCTCTGATCTAGATGGTTCAGTTGCGAAGCCTTCGTTTATTTTGAATAGCTTTTAAACAATGGCTACTTAGTTATGGAAGAAAACTGACCAAATCGTAAGGCAATAAAACATGTACATACTGATGTTCTGGTTTAGAACAATGAAGTCTTTACAAAAAAAACACCAAACTCAATAGATACCTACCTACTTATTTATTTATTCATTTACTAGTTTACTTACTTGGGCCTGTTATCCTTCTTGAAGGAGCATATGCTGCTAACTGGCACTCTCCATCTAACTCCGTCCTGAGAAATCCTTTCCGATTCTTTCCGGTGACTATTCATGATAACCTTGTCTGCTTCCAATTCTCGATGCAGTGTGTTCTTTAGCCTTCCTTTATCCCTTTCTGTTCAGCTTGGAACTAATGTGTTTCACTGATTCCGAAAACCGTCAAGTTGTATCTCTTCATTTCCGTAGCTATTTCCTTTGTCCACCAGGTCCTCCACATTGTCCGGACATTCCACATACCCATAGTTATTGTTGATGTTGTTGTTAGAAGTGGCGTTTGCCTCATGACTTTCGAATAATTTTGGCTTTCATCATGAAGCGTTATTACTCTTGTGAATGAAGATCGTTCAACTCGGAGGACAGAGTTTAAATGGTTTAAATTGTTTGACTTAGTTAGAGTTACTTTAGCAATGTTGTTTTCTACGAGGTGGGGTTGCTGACCTAATGGCCAAACCTCCTTCTTTGCGTGAGCTTGGGACCGGCACTAACCTTAGACGAACTACAGGCGGAGTTATAGACCACAATGCCTTCAACATCTTTACATTTCATCTTTACAAAAATATTTTTTCAACCCTATTTTGAAACTACAGTATATTGTTTGTTCTTGTACTATGTGTTTTTAGTCTTGTTGACTTTCTTTTCGTATTTATTTGACTAGATTTTGAAACTATTTCAGACAATAAGCTATTTTGTCTAGGTTTTTATTATTGAAGACTATTTGATTACATATTAGGCAACTTTTTTCTGAAAGTGTATTATTCTAGGTATTTTATTAAGCAGCAACTCTTTATTTCTATTTTTAATTTTTTAAGCTGATCAGCTTGCCATATATTTCAACTATTTCGAAAATATACAAAGACAATACAAGTGCTGTGGAATATATTCTGCAGAAGACTGGTTCGATGTAACCCAATACCAGGGATTGTTTACTGAAGTAAGTAATGAATTACTGTATTCATGGAAAGGGGTTTCTAATAATATCCCGAAAAGCTGTTGTAATGTAGAAGAAACATTCAGTTGTTCTCAAAACTTTCTGAAATCAACCAAAATGAAAGCTTATCATTCCACAAACGATCAAGCAATTCATAATAGTACCTCCTTTATTTATACAGACGGATGTTTGAACAGCGTGGCTGCCGAAGAACGACAGATAATGTACAGTTTTACCATTAAATACGGTATTATAGGCATATGTCTGCACATCATGCGATTAACTACTTGTTGTGTTGTCTATAATCAAACTGAAAAGAAAAATTTAAATAACCTAGTAGAAATCAAACAGTACTCTTTCAGGAGTTCAGCTTATTTCACTTCGTTAAAAGACACGCGCTACATATCCAACTCACACTTATCGATTGCTTGTGAAAGTTATTGGCTTCTCGGACAACCAGCTTTTATGCAGCTACAGTTTGAAAAGTTAAAATCAAAGTGGTTAGAAAAGAGTATATGTATAGGTTGGATGTTTTACAAAAAAAGCAAACATTACGTAACATTTCTACGTCGAATAAACTTTCAGAAAAAAGGTATACAAACGGACGAATTCCGTCAGTTTCTGCGCTATTCGATACCATCTTTTGAAATGATAATCTATGCTGACGGTAATGATAAAGAGGAGATTGAAGCAAATATGATCTACGGTGGTTACATTGCACGACTCTCAAGAATGATATGCTTCTTGTTGTTTGGAATTTTTATTGGTGAGTTTTTCTTAGCAACAGTAATACCTGTTAAAAATGAATCTATTGAATTGCCTTCTTGTGATAAAGTAATACCTGATTATATTATTCAAAGAGATGCTGAAGCACTGGCAAATGATGTTGAGTGGATAACTAGAATATTTATTCGAATTATAATCACACTAACTGCCATGGCGTCGTGCAGATTTCGTTGTCTTCTCCTATTAATAATTCCAAGCTTAGCTCAGACAATTGGTTTATCCTATCTAGGCAATGAATTGTTGCATGTGTCTATAACAGGACCCGTTCAAAATTTAGAACATAATCTTCGTTCAGCGTCTGAATCAATAATTTGTTTTATTAAACTAGCTTACAATATGACAAGAGATACAAACGATTTTCTTGAGAAGGGTAAAGAAGTAATTAAATCAGAAGGAGATTTAAATTATATTGAGACTATTAAAGTTAAATCTGCTCAACTTAAAGAAAAAATAAACCAATATAACGAATCAATTCAAAATATCAATGCAGAAGTAAGTTGATATTGAAAGTATGAGTAAATTTTTAAAAAATTATCCTTATGACACTGAATGAAATAAAGTTCTTTGTAAAAACATCATTTCACACTTGTAAACTGAGGTGGAAATTGGGTTTACCTTCCTTAATATCTATGGATAGATTCTAGTGAATAGTGACTTTTCATGAGCACTAAGCTTTATGATGAAATAAATGTGGGATCAGTAAAACAGTTTTTAAGTGATTTATGGACACTTTAGTCTTGTTCTAATGAACAAATTTAACGAATACAAGTATTTTTTCAGATGGTTAGAAATAAAGTTATTAAACTATTTACCTTTGATTTTAGCTTAGTTGATTGCCGAAAAGTTACTAAGAGTCTCAGAAACTAAAATTACTACACTATAGATTAGGATAGTGTGGAAATTGTATGTATGTGTCATATATAGTTACTTACCTACTTACTGACGCCTGTTACCCCTCGTGAAAAAACATGTGCTGCTCACCAGTGTTCTCCATCTAACTTCGTTCTGGGCAGTCTCTTTTAACTTCTTTCCTGTTGCTATTCATTGTTTTGACGTCTGCCTCCAACTTCCGGCTCAGTGTGTTCCATGTCTTCCTCTTTTCTGCTTTCATTACGGATTCCAAGTCAACGTTTGCCTTGTGACGCAGTCCGATGAGTTCCGTAATGTGTGTCCTATCCACTTCCAACATCTTTTCGTAATTTCCTCTTCAGCTGAAAACTGGTTTGTCCTCTCCCACAGAAGGCTATTGATCATAGTATCCAGCCAGTCAATGTTGTGTATTTTGCGTAGACAACTGTTTAGAAATACTTGTACCTTCTTGACGATGGATGTAGTAGTTCTCTACGTTTCAGCTTAGTACAGTAGGACTAACTGACATGCCGCTCGTATTGAAGATTCTCACTTTGAAATTAGTTGACAATTTTTTTGAGCTCCATATGTTCTTCAATTGTAGAAATGCTTCCCTTGCTTTGCCACATCTTCCAGAGTTTCACAGTCAAGTGAGATTAAATTGGCGTTCTACGTGTTGTATTTGAGGATCTTGGTTTTTACTTTTTGTATGCTGAGGCTCACTGATTCAGAGACTACTGGTACATTAGTTGTCTTCATCTGTATTTGTTCATGTGTATGGGATAGAAGGGCTAGGTCATCTGTGAAGTCCAAATCGTTTAATTAATTCCGAAATGTCCACTGTTTCTTATCAGATGTCGAAGTCTCCATAATCCAGTCAATCAACAGAAGGAAGAGGAAGAGGGAGAGTAGACAGCCTTTTCTGACTCCGGTCCTTACTTGGAATGCATCTGTCAGCTGTCCTCCGTACATGACTTTGCACTGTAGTCCGTCTTCCACAATGTCAAACGCCTTCTCATAGTTAACGAAGTTGATGTATAGTGACGAGTTCCACTCAAGTAATTGTTCAACACTGATCTGTAGTGTCGCCATATGATCTGTGCGTGATCGATCCTTACGGAATCCGGTCTGTCAATCTCAAAGTTGGGCATCTACTGAATCTTTCATCCGATTTGGCAACGCTCTATTGAATACTATTCCTGGTACTGACTGATGCCTTTCTCATTCTCACATTTGCTCAGATCTCCTTTCTTTGGTAAACATTATTCAACTTCCACAATATATGGAACGGCTGATAATAGGCTGTGGGGAAATGCTACAGTTTTTGTTCATGTTCCTCTAAATTCAGAGTATAGCATCATCAAATAGTCTTAATCCCTAGACATTATTTACCCCATCTGAATGATATTTTCAATGTACTTCATAAAATCCCTTTTCATTTGTTTTATGCTTTATTAAGTTTTTATGTACCCATGCTGGCATAGTGTATTGCAGTTTGAACTGATGAGCATTAACCCCCTAGTTCAATGCGGCCCTAGACTAACAAAACAGCAAAGTTTGATCTAACATCGATTTGTAGGACTTTCTAGACCTCTTCTGAATAACATTATTTTCCTATGACATGGACAATGTTTATAATAATAAAAATACTCCTTTCTACATCTACCAGGTAATATTGATGCGAACGTTTAAAACCTTAGTTAATCTCAAACACGATTTAAAGAAGCTATTTAGTTATTTCGTTCTTTGTTGGGTGAATGACTCACCGAGTTAACTGATAAATGAAATAATCACAACACTTATTACAGTGTTTGTAGAAGAGTTTGTTAGACAACTTTGCTAATGTTTTCATGCTGACCAGTAGATTTTACCATGTTTACTATTTATAAACAAATTAAAAGCAGTTATGCAAAATGAAGACCGAAACTTCTATCTCGTTCGGAGTTTTGACTGCACCTGGTGATCAACCAAAATGAAGCGGAAATCATTAATTACATTACATTATACTTTATATTACAAATAATGCTTAATTTACATGCTATGATTTTAAATGATTTACTTCACCTTAAACTTAGTCAAGCTTTTGAATATCATAATTATAAAACCCGAAGGAGAATTACTGAAAAGAATATTCTTTTTTCATGTACTTATGTTTTAATTGTTATTTACGATATCATAATCCATGTTAGATCATGCATTACAATCTCTGTTGTTTTCGCTGAATTACATGGATAATGTAGTGTTCTACGACAATAATACCACTCTATCTTTCCACGGACGTATTATATGTAAGGCAGTTATTCATGATGAGAGAAAAATTACAACATAGAACAAGACAATCTTTAATAGAAAGTATTCCAAAATATCTACCATTGAGTGACTAAATAAACAAGAACATAACCGCAATTATTGACTACGATACGCTTAGATGTCAGTGAGTCAGTCGGTCAGTAACAACGCAGAACTTCGTACTACGTACATTAGTTCGAATTGCCATGCCACATTAGCACAGACATGCAGTTGTTGATTAAAGTCCCATGGTGGTAGAAGTAGTAAGAATATAAACAGTAATAGGTAAGATTAGGGTTTGAAGATGTTATTCAAGGAATATAATTCAGTGAAATAAATTTGGAAAGAGAAAAAGGTAGAGGCATGAGGAATTCAGAAGATTAGAATTTGGCAGAACACAAAGAGTGGATGCACCTGCGCCATTGCAAACGATTTTGAGCTATGTCATTCAGGGTCTCTAACCATCGGTTACCATCATCTCGACGATCCCAACCAGATAGTCTACACCTGCAAACATGGTTCTGTCCACTTGTCAGTGACTTCATGAATTTGTGCCACGTTTTGGTCTGGCCGCCCTTAGCTTTCCTTCAACCTAATCCAACACCATAAAACATCGCACTTTGGGCAGTCGGTGGTTGGGCATACATAAAACATATCCCAGCCATCTCAAATGATGAAGTTTCACTACTTCGTCAATCGATTTGCCATCCTTACCTAGCACCTGTTTCCTAACAACTGTATTACTTACTCGGTGGTCCCAGGATATACGAGTAGTACTTCGAAGACACTTATGATCGAATACTAGTAACCTACAAATATTTTCTACTCTTACCGGCCATGTTTCACTGCTTTAAAGTTAAACAGGGCAAACTGCTGCGCAGTATACTCGTCCCTTCTTTGATAGGCGGGTATCTCACCTACGCCTTCGTCACACATAACACCACAATGGCTGATGAGACTCCCAAGATAAGTGAAGTGGTAGACACGCTCAACTACTTCCTTATCTATCATGAGTTCAGGTGCCGATGCAATCTAATCCTGAAGTAATATTTTGCATTTCGAAGGGGGAAATGGCATCCCGAACTCTTAGATGACCTGAAAACGTGGATTTCATTCTCAGTCAACATTTTGACACCAGTTTTTAATACATCCTTCCCTCGACATTGATTTTGTGACAAAAATACCTTTTCTTGAAATTCTACATTCAATTCATGGGTTACAAATTACATTTTTAGTAAGTTCGAACGACACAAACACACCTGAATACAACTACTTAAATAAAATTGAAGTTTATGCTTACACATCATACTTCTAATTAAAGAACAACTATATGAACTTCAGTTAACAAAATAGTTTATTTTATTTCGTTTAGATTGAAAAAGCGAAAACCATGGTGAAACGTGCAGAATCTTTTCTTGGCTCAGGTATCAATGAGACGAATATGTATGCCCGTATGTCTTTGGAAATGGCTAAACAGGCTAAGTATGAAATGATTAAAAAAGCTGAAGCAAGTAAAAATAGCATTATTACAATGATGAAAGACAAAAGTGTGAATAAAAGTATAATAAAACAAATAACTGATCGTATTGTGGATGGCTTACAAGTAGAATACAATATAGAAACTCGTATGCAAACCACATGTATGGTCTTCTACAAAACACGTGCAATGATATGTAAACAATCATCAATTAAAGCTTGTAGTCGTTTACAAACTATTCTCATTGCAGCAACACGCTATCCTTTATTGATAAAAAATACTTGTTTACGTAAAATTGCTTCTGGTTTAGCGTGTCCAACTGATCAAGCACTTGAAAATGCAATTAATCAGTGTAGTTCAAGTTTAGAGAAAATAGGCTATTCTAGCGGATTCGGTTCTTTATTTTTACAAGCTCAACAAGATTTATATAACATTAAACAAACATTTCACTTCACTATACAACATAAATTATTTCAATTCGAACAAATCACTAATTGGTTTAATCAAAGTTCTAAAGTTATTGATCGTGTAACTCAACATACAAAAGAAATCATATATGTTATCGTTAAACTAAGTTTAATTTTAACTTATTTACTAAGAACAATTTGTTTAGTTGTATTTTATAAAGCTCATATCTATATAACAAATTATTTATTGGATCCGGATCATGATAATATTTACATTGAATCACCATTTGAAGAAATTGATTATAAACGTTCAAAAGAATCACGTGAAACGTTACTACCACTAAAAGGGTATGAATTGAATAATGTAATATGGCATCAACAAATGTATACAAAAACTGAATTAAAACGTGCAATTCAAAATTTAATCAAAATAGTTGGTTTTGGTTTCTGTTTATCTATAATATTCTTTATTGATTTTTATATAAGTGAATTGGTTCAAGTATTAGATGAAGTATCAAGTACAACATTTAAAGTTGGCAAAGAAATAAATGACCGAAATCATTCAACTCAACAAACTTATTCAACATCATTCATTTTACAAGGTGATGGAATATTTACTGAATTACTTCAAAAAGGCATCAAAATGTTACAATATGCTAGTGAAATAAATCTTATTTATAATTTAAATATATGTAGTCCTAAAGCTAAATATACAAAGTCTAAATACATTATACATTTTAGTATATTATGGTTATTTATAATCATTCTATGTTTACTATCTGGTTATATATTACGTTTAAGACATAAATTATTGAATTTCTTTTATCCTAAACGTTCAAAATATCGTTATATTCATCTGTATAATAAATTATTAGTGAATAGACGACGTCAATTGATCACTCAACGTAATTTACTTGTTTATCAATCAAGAAAAAATCAATTACAAATAGAAATTATTAAACATTTATCTAATTCATATTTATATCAACATAATTCATTATTAAGTAGTATATTTAAACGAGATAAAAAAATTAATTGTATTATATGTATGGAAAAATATAAAATTTGTAAAGAATCATTTATATATATATGCCCATATGATAATACAACTATATGTCAATATTGTTTAATTACATTATTTAATAATCATAAAATATGTATCACTTGTTTAGATAGAAATTATAAAAAATTAAAACAAATTAATAAAAATATTTTAGCATTAAAAGAAAAAATTTTTTCAGAATTAATCACTAAGTGAAAAAAAAGTTTTTTTCTTTGATTTAAAAAAACAAATAATTAAATGAATCAATAATTAAACACTGATCTCATATGTAAACTATGATTTATGAATTTATTATATTCTATTTTTGTGTGTTTATAATTATTAAAAAATAAAAAATCAATAAATAAACATTTCATTGTTTTGTGAGTTTCTATTTTTTATTTGAATTTATACAATATTTATGTTGTTTAAATCAACGTATATAAGTGACTAATATTTGAACAAAGAATATTCTTTTCGATAAATTCTCTCTTCAAATTCTACAATTATATATCCAAATTAATAATCCGAAATAATGGCCAGGGTAAAGGCAAAGTACATCGTTTAATGCATGAAAATTTAAGATTGTCAAACCAAATAGAATAAAATTGTTAATGTTCATATGACTCATATAGAATGTTACCACTTGAATCTGTATATATGTTAAGTGAAAATTTAAGATCTGTGATCAGGATAAATATGGGTCAGATAGGGTGAGAGAGATATGATAGTGCAATTATAATTCGATCAAGTGGAAGACTAAATTGTGTGAAAAATTAGTAAGACGTAATAAGGAGGGATCAATTCGAAGTGAATGAATCATGTATAAGGAAGATTAATAATGGTGTTTAACCAATAATAACAATACTGGGTTCGAGTCCCAGAGTGAACATCAACTCTGAGATGCAGGTACATCCAGCTGACGAGTCCCAAATAGGACGAAACGCGCGTCCTGGATTCCACTGCTAGCCACTATCCATCTCTGCTTACCAATAATAATAATAGTACAAAGATTTGTGAATAAAGAGAGACAATTACATTTGACTACGAAAGGTCGTAAGTACAATAGTCAAATTAGGTCATACAATAGCTAAGATTACTATTGATTAATTGGCCTTATGGTTGGCCAGGGGAGGGGGTGGAGATATTTCTTCTGTACGCATGGCTCCGGTTTCTTCATTCCGATGGTTACTGCTTCAGCCGTTTGGATGACTTTAATTCTGCGAAGCTTTAGCAAAAAATGACCGACCCTTTAAGTAATTGGAAAGGATTAGTTTATACTGGCACTATGACCAGCTTGCATTAAATGGATCGAGCTGTTTACCTTCTTCACCAGACTTTTACTTAGCCACGCTGGGAGGTGTTCATCAGCACGAAAATGTAAATTCCTAGAACTTTGACCAATATAACTTGCTCCACAGGAGCAATCGAACTGATAAATGCTTGCTCCTGTGGAGCACTTTGCCTTAAAGTTGGCCATTTTTTTGGATTATTAATTTGGATATACAAATTGTAGAACCTGAAGAGAATTTATCGAAAAGAATATTCTTCGTTCAAATATTAGTCTTTTAATATATAAGTGAACAATATTGTTTTTGATTTGATCCTCACCAGATTTTACTCTAATATACAATAATATTTATATGCTTATATGAAATTATTAAACCAATCAAGACGATTAAGAGAAAGTTTAATGGGGTTAACCTATATCTATCGTATTCGACCCAATCTATAGTGATTCGTTAATTGAAGAATTAGCTACCTGGTTATGCCACTTCTAATTGTATTTTCGAATTCAGCTGCTACTGTGTAGAATGCTATATTGGACACACTGCCAGATAACTGAGTCAAAGAGTTAGTGATCACTTACCTTTGTGGTTAGAAAAGGGTACCGTCAAGACAATACGCAGTTCTGTTCTATCACACTTGATCTATAGTGATCATGTAGTTGACAGAAATAGGTCATTTAAAGTGATTTATCGTATTCTTATTAGTTTTCCTTATAGGGTTTGATCTCGTCTCTTACACATAGCAGAATCTAAAGGGATTCGAGCCAACGATTCAAGTCTTTGTATTCATAAGAAATTTGTAACACCTTTATCTCTCTCTTGGTGTTAGTAAATGAGTTACTTTATTATTATTTTCCATACTCTTTGTTCGTTTATTTATTCGTTTTTTCACTCACCCTCTCCCACCCTCTTCTGTTCTCATGTATACACTCCATGGTCCAATTATCTGATCACTTATTACATAATCTTACAATTTTTATGAATGCTATCTCAGCATCTGTATTTTTCAAATCACCGATCTGTTTCCTATTGCGTGACATTGATTCAAACCTTTTATTATTCTTATCACAACCAGTACACCTGTCATTACACTACCAATTTGTACTTTTCACTTATTATTATTTCTAATTATGTAATCTATTCCACTGTTATCATTGACTCATAAACTGCCTTGACTGGTTTAATTTCGTATATGCATATGAACATTACGGTATATTGCGGTAAAGACTGATGAGGATCTAATCGAAAACATTATTGTCCGCTTATATATATTGTTCTAATCCAAAATATGGGAATTTTTCAAATATTTTGATGATTCTAAAAATGAACAATATTTTAGTGAATTTTAAAAGAATTAACTAAATTACCGAGAGAAAAATTTCAACCTTCGAATGAAAATCACAGGAAGAATGAAAGAAATCTGTTCGTGATCAGTTATCTATGATAAATTACTGATATTATTTGATAAAATCTTAATGTGAATCGATTATTTTTGAAAATATTTAGTTGTCATTTTGTTAGCTTGTGCTTAATCAAAGAATTATAAATAGATTTTACATTTAATGAAGTTACTGAATGGTCTAGACAAACAAAGAAGCTTTATTGTACTAAACAAAACTGACAGGATCTCGTTACAGACGTAGGCAAACTTCAAAATAGAATTAATACTTAGTTAGTAACTTGATTATTTTGCCTATTTTTAAAACTTCATATTCAAAAATCCTTTGTTTGTCACCAGATTTCTGTCTGTAAAAAAACACATTCATTTGAGTACTATAATCTTTTAAACATGTACTGTCAAGATTATCGAATTGATAAATCGTTTCATAAATCAAACTTTATCCTCTGAAACAAAATTTTTTTCTTTATCATCTGTTCACGAGTAAGTCTTGTGGGGTGAAATAACTGGATGCAAACATATCTGATTTATTGTTTCAGGTATCCAGTAAGTCAGAAATCATTCACATTATTCTTTTTAGTCGTTGTTTGAGTTGAATGTGTTAGTACACTAAAAGTAGGTGCGGTTTAAATTTTTCAAAAGTGATAAGCAAACTCAATATCTATTATGGCTTTAACTAGATCAAATCTGTTCATTACAAATACTAAATTCATCCATAAAGTAAAAGAACCCATATGATCATTCTATAACGAATAAATTTTGTAAGATGGTATTCAAAGTAAATAATAACAACAGTAGGACATCTGCTCTAGTTAGTAGACTGATATTGAAAATTAAATAATAGCCATCAGATACCCTTTGAAGTCTAACGATTTTATAAGTAAAAGTCCTAAAGAATATTCTGATGAAATGTCCATTAAACGTGATGATAAAGATCACACTTCTCGGCAGCCTAATCAATTTAGCAACTCTGATCAAAACATAACATTTACAACAGAATATGTAAAAGATAATCGATTTAATTTTTCAGATTTTAATGTAAAACGAAAAAATAATGGAACAGAATTTAAACTGTAAAAGCTTTTTCCCTATCAGCTATAAAAGGCGTTTATTGAAAACGCACTTCATTAGAGTTAGAGTGTTACTATCAAACGATGAAATAAATGAGGAATTTCCTATTCTAGAAATCCATCTCATAAATTGTTGATATCCAGTGGAATTTATTGCGAACTATGGAATAGAACATCCTATGGATGAAAAATGGAAAACTGTTGGGAAACAAACATATCTTCAACCACCTTACGTCCAAATGACATGAGATTTCAGGAAGAATCGATGAGGAAATCAAGGTGACACAGAAAATAAGCCCCTTTTCAACTCAACCAGTATCACTATACAACACCAAGTGTTCGTTACATCATTCAAAGGTAGATCAATACATTTCGGGCGTCACCTTTATTAGCACATACGAACTTACATATACCTGAGGTAGCGAGTATATAAAAAACACAAAGAGAGGGACTTCTACTTCCAGGGATTCACAAGTCAAATTAGTAGATAGCTTCTAGATAGTGAACATGAAGTCAATTTAAATAATGTATTCAAAATAATTAACAGATAAAAAACACTAATCTCATTCCATTTACAAAGTCATTAGCCGTCAAAAGCTTCCGACGTTATTTATCTCTAATGATGGAATATGTAACTATCCTTTCCCTGCCATGATGATTGGATGTTTATTAAACAACCTCTATTACTTTTTAAATTTTTTTCAGCCTTGTCCACTTTTTATCTTATTTTCGTCTGCTGATATTCATCCCTAACATAGTTGTTAAGTCTGTTATGTTGAGCGATTACCCAATAAATTATCGATGTCATCAGCCTTCCAGAACTCTTATCTTAATGATTACCACTAACTATAACACCGATCCTAATTTGCAGTACAATATTTTTCAACACATAAAGATACATTGATCTTGACTATGTTCATTCATATACAATTTTAATGATTTTAATGATTCTGGCTAGGTTTTGGACAATCTTCCAAGCTTCACAAACGAAAGTATGTCAAGTATTTGTTAATAATTATATTAACAATTGCAATTTTAGCCAGAGAGAATTTCGCACTGAATGAATATGCCTAGTTGAAGTCAATATATTGATAAGAGTGTTTTGACCTTCGATATGTGGTTAGATTCAGAGTTATACATTGATTATTTTTAAATAAGCAATCCAAAAGTGACAACTAATTATGTGTATTTTCATTCTCGTAAGTGAATTTAATGTGGGAGATCCCATTCCTAGTTCGCCTGTTTGTTTGTATAATAATCCGTTGAAGGTAAATAAGTTTAAATATAAGCATAGTTTGGTGAATTTTATGATTAAAGTGATACTTAAAAGACCTCTGCTAAATAAAATATGGTCATTCAGTAGTAAACCACTAATAAAATGCCATTTATGAAAATATATCCGATTATATTGAATAAACCCTTTATCAAACCTCGTTTACATGACAATTAAGATATCACTATATCTGTGCAGACTTTCCATAAACATGTCATGCGGCCAAATCAACTAATATCCAATTAATAAGTGTCACCGAAACAACAACCCGCTTTTTAAAATAATTTTGAGTTATCAAGCTAACTTAATGAATAATTCCCATCTACAGGTTTGTAACATATGACTATGATATTAGGATTTCTAAAACTTATAAAACCAGCTCACAATATTCCTAAATTGCAAAAAATATTTTTTAAAAAAAGCTGTTCACTTTCTGACTACTATTAATTCTAACTGAATTAATGGATTCAAGTAATTGTGAACTGATTTTCTTTCAATGATGATAAATATCTACAAATTACAACCATATTTATATCTGATATCTTACCATATGAATATGAGAAAAAAATAAAGAAGATGGAATTTGTTTTCTTCCATCTTTTCAACATTATTGATTGTTTCATAAGTTTGCTCTAGGCTACGTCTGTTTCATTTTGATTTCTAACAAATTATCTGCTTAGCTAAAACTATTTGTCTACTTATAAAGGATGAATAAATATTTTGTTAATTTGTGAGCTTTTTTGTCACTTTGAGCATTCTGAAAAAAAATCAGTCGTTAACATCAATACATAAATGTATGACTGTGGTGTGCGCTTTTCATGTGGATAGATATTAGTAGTATGTACAGAGAATATGAAGTGGAATGCATATCAGTAGTAGATTGAGATGAAGAAAACAGCAAGGAAAATAGAGAGCGACTACTCCAAGAAAGTCCCTGTATTCATGATGAAGAATAAAAATTATATTCGAATGAAACAAAAACACTACACTGCAAGCCACTTGGATATTTATTAAGAAATTTTTGTCCACAGTCATACAGATCATAATTTCTTGGGGGATTCACAAACTTTTTAGCACTTTTAACGTTCAGTCTTCTGGTAATGCATATACTTCCTGATCAAATTTTTTTGGTGTGATGTATGTGGCATGGACAAGAATCGCTTACAACAAACAATAATTTGAAAATAATTAACAACTAATTCTCCTTATAGTAACGTTAGTTTGGTGTTAGAAAGAATTTCACTTAGGTCTGTTGTCAGTTTCTATCTACCTGTAATCCCATTGATCATGATGAGTATAAAAAAAATAAAAAAGTCATTTCAGCATACTTTATTTATTATTGGAAATAATAATTATCCATTGTTTTTAATAAACAATACATAGTTAATATAGTCCAACAATAATCCATACATTACATATCGTTTCTATGTAAAGTGTACTGCTAGAATAACTAATAAAAGAAAAATCATCTTTGTATAGATCAGGTATAATTATTATTAGTTGTTAAGTTTAAATTATTGTTCAGCAGATGAATGTTTTTCTTTTCAATAAATAGTTGTTTTGAAATTAATATCTTAACAAGTTTCCTATTCACCATCTACCTTCATAATTGCCAGAAAACATTGTTAACCAATTGTTACGTTGTCTTTAGGGTATGGTTGAAACTTACCATAGCATATAGAGCAGATACTTTTATCGAAACTAAATAGATATATCAATTTTGAATATATTCTACCTAGAATTGATAGTTCTGGTAAATTTCTCATTTCTTCTTGTAAACAATCACTTTGTCCATGATCAGAAGTTTGTTGATATGATTCACTTAGATAATTACGACTTAATACTAACAAATAACTGGATAAAGCTACTTTGCGACGTTTTATATGCTCTGGATAAAAAAATTCTACAATTCTATGACGCATATATAACAAACCAGTTGATGTGACTGTTAACACCATAAATATCATCCATAAAGAATAAAAATAATTATTATACTTTAAATCTGTTTTAAGTCCATATCTTCGACATTCATTAATATTATAATTTAAATGATTATCGTTTGACTGTTCAATATTTTGTAATATCACTTTGGTTATCTCTTCAAATAAACCATTTTCAATGTCTTTTACAAAATTAGTTTCAATAGTAGTATCAATCATATTTGTTGTATAATTAGATATGATAACTTTTTGAAACTTTTCAGTTATATTATCATTGAATTGTATATGATTTAATAGTAGTATATCTAATAAATTTACTAAATCATATGTTTGTGAATCTAAATAAAATATACACAATAGTATTAATCCAATCATTATAACTAAAAATAAATTTTTCGAAGAATTTTTAATATTCATCCATATACTACTGAAATAATTCAGTAGTATTAAAAACTTTTGAATGGATTTCAAAGGGGATAACATCATTTGGTCATCAATTAAAAGTTTTGTAATGGACAATTGATATTTTAACTTAAAATATAAATTATCAAAATTGATATCTAATAAATAATTTGAAATATATTTATGCGCTTGATATATAAGTAGTATAAAGAATAATCTAAACAATGTAGTTGATAATATAAATGAGTTTAAAAGATTGTTAACTTTAGGAGTCATGGTTACATCAATAAATTCAATTTTATCAATAATTTCTTCTTCTGTTTCTATCCATTGGATATCTTCTTTGTTTACTTCACTTTTATTTGTGAGTATTTCAATTTTCATTGATTTTTTAAACGATTTCAGTAATTCATATAATTCTGAAAGATAACTACTAAATCCAAATTCCATTTCAATGACTTTCATATCTAAAACACAATTATGTCTCAATTCATTCATATAAGTGGATAACTCACAAAACTCGTCAGGTTGATAATAATGAGCACATAGATCATTAAGCCATACACCTTGTAATTCAGGATTTTTTGTTAACGTCTTACAAATCTTTTGTGATTCATTTAAACAAATAGAAAATTTTCTTTCATGTATAGCTATACATTTATGAAGTAGATAATTGAGCATTTCATACTCTAATTGCATATTTTTCATGTCAATATTTAATGTATTTATACCAATTTGATTCAAGGCAACGTTTTCTGATTTATAAGCTTTGACATTCAGCTTAAATTCTTCAAATCTATCATGAAATCTTCTATTCATTTCATGTGAAAGTTTTTTAGCTTCACTTTGAAAAGTTTTTGAAACAAAATCAAATTGTGAATAAGATTTCTCAAATATATTTGTCAAGTTTCTATAATCATCAGTCTAAGCAAAATCAAAGTAAACAAGAAAATAGAATGACCAATTTACATTAGGAAGACGTCATCCATTTTTCAACAGATCAAAAGTAGAAAATATGTTTTAATTGACAGAGTATTGTTTGATTGAATCTTCCCACTGATGTTTAGGACTGTAATTAGTCAGTCTCTAATTGGCATATGTGCATACTGTACGTAATGCCTCGATATAGCCACAGTATGCACATATGCCAATTAGAGACTGACCAGTTGCAGTCCTAAACATCAGTGGGAAGATTCAAACAAACAATACTAAATGAATTTAAACTTCACCCCTCATCGCACAAGCAAGTGGCCATCAGGACTCAGTAGCTGAATGGATAACGCGATGGTGGTTGAAGCGAAAGGTACTGGGCTCGAGTCCCAGAGTGAACATCAACTCTGAGATGCAGGTACATCCATCTGTCTAGTCCCAAATAGGGCGAAACGCGCATCCTTCTAGCCACTATCCATCTTTGCTTACTATGTTTTAATTGGTTGAAATTTGAATGTAAATTAAAGAAATATTTGCACCAACATTACACCACTGGTGTTGGGAATTCAGTGATGGAATAGAATTTTTAATATTGAAAAGACTTATTATCTAATTATCTTTCATTCCACTTGAGACATGTTCTAGAGACATACTATTCCAGTGATTTTGAAGTCAAACATTTTCAGCTTTCACTGTTGTGTCTCGTTTGTATTTAACTGAACTAATACTGATTCTCGTAATAATTTAATCACAACATATCTGTACTTCATATTTAATGCAAAAATAGTTTAACTAAGGAAGAGAAATTGACTATATAGTAAATAATTTACACTAATATTAGTTGGTTTGTCCTCTACGTTTACAAAGTTTCAGCTACCAGTTGTGTGGCAATAATATGCTCGTGGCTTATTCATATTGGGTCTAACCTACTTGTACAATATAGCTCTTATAGTTTCACAATTTTCATCAATAAAAGAATAAATGAGAAATACTGAGATGTTTCTTAATCAGGATTACGACAACTTTTATCCGGTATATACAACAAATTCCGAACTGAATTTATAATGGTTAACGTAAATCTATTGTACATTTCGGGTCATTCCCTGGCCTAGACATTTACAGTATATTGCTATACAAGAAGCAGGTAAAAACACTTATCTATGAAACATTTCACTCTCTTAACATTACCCTTACTAATAGAAAGATTTATAGTATCAACATCGTGATAGTGACTTAACATTCTGGTAAATAATTACTTTGCATTCCATAACAACAAAGATTTTATATTTGTGATCACGAATGTACATGAATCAAGCGTGGAGCTGAGGGGAATTATATAACGAATAATTCTACAATCAGTTTCACATAATTACAGAGAGAACCACGCTCTGTTATGAGCAAACACAGAATGTAAAAACATCTTAAATTCAAAATTGCTTTAATTCTACTGAGACGCATGTGGGGAAAAGTCAGTTTCATAGCCATAATGACCTTCTTCGACACTACGGCGTGCCTGAGAAGATAGTCAATATCATACGGAACTCCTATGATGGACTAAACTGCCAAATCGTCCACGGAAGACAACTCACCGACTTGTTTCAAGTAAAGACCGGTGTTAGGCAAGGTTGCTTACTCTCACCTTTTCTCTTTCTCCTGGTGATCGACTGGATCATGAAGACGTCAACACCTGGAGGAAAGCACGGGATACTGTGAACAGGTAGGATGCAACTTGACGATCTAGACTTCGCGGATGATCTGGCTCTTCTATCACAAACGCAACAACAAATGCAGGAGAAAACGACCAGTGTAGCAGCAGCCTCAGCAGCAGTAGGCCTCAATATAAACAAAGGAAAAAGCAAGACTCTCAGATAAAACACAATATGCACCAATCAAATTACACTTGACGGAGAAGCTTTGGAGGATGTGGAAACCTTTACGTATCTGGGCAGCATCATTGATGAACACGGTGGATCAGATGCAGATGTGAGGGCGAGGATCGGCAAAGCAAGAGCAGCATACTTACAACTGAAAAACATCTGGAGCTCAAAACAATTGTCAACCAACACCAAGTTTAGAATTTTCAATACAAATGTCAAGACAGTTCTATTGTATGGGGCGGAGACGTGGAGAACTACGAAAGCCATTATCCAGAAGATACAAGTGTTTATTAACAGTTGTCTACGCAAGATACTTCGGATCCGATGGCCAGACACTATCAGCAACAAGTCACTGTGGGATACAACAAATCAGAATCCAGCGGAGGAAGAAATCAAGAGGAAGCGCTGGAAGTGGATAGGGCACACTTTGAGGAAATCAGCTAATTGCGTCACAAGACAAGCCCTCACATGGAATCCTGAAGGTCAACGGAGAAGAGGAAGACCAAAGAACACATTACGCCGAGAAATGGAGACAGACATGAGAAGAATGAACAAGAACTGGATAGAACTAGAAAAGGAAGCCCAGGACAGAGTGGGTTGGAGAATACTGGTCGGCGGCCTATGCTCCATTGGGAGTAACAGGCGAAAGTAAGTAAGTAAAGTAAGCCATAATGACAGTGTTATGAATGGAATTACTGGATGTTAGGTCAATTATAACAAATTTAGTGTATCTGAAAAGACATTATACGTGACTTGAAGATGAATAAATAACAAAATTGAAAAGTTCTAAGTAAGATACGATAATAAAATGGAAATCACGGCATCCAAAGTATAAATATACGGGTTGAATTATGTCAAGTTGCCCTATGCCCAGAGAAAGAATGATCTGTGGATCATCATCAGTCAAGATTTGAAATCCAATGAATACAGTCAAGCAGTAGACCTCATAGGTTTCATGATCTTTTCTGCACTGACCATAACATGAGGTTAGTTATGTGAAAAGATATTTGCGTATGCATTACTTGTTCTATCATAACTATGTTACTGCATACAAACAGCTACTTTGTGTCTAGTAGAGAAAGGTAGGTGATAGAAAAGCCTATCACTGAAGCCTTGAAGCTGTCGTACGACGATAGAATATATGAATCAAACCACCCCGCCTTATCATACCGGGTAACTCGAGGCAACATAATCACAAGCTTTAATTTGTTTACTAACAAACTCAGATTTTATATAGTTGAAATCATGAGTCAATTGAAGGTAGACCAGCATCAAAAACCTGAAAGCACTGGACGGCCATTTCGTCCTATTGTGAGACTCCTCAGCAGTTCGCATCAACGATCCCGCCTCGCCAGATTTGAACACATAACCTATCAGTTTCGAGCGCGTGCGCATAACCACTAGACCACTGAACCGGCATCCAACGGTGTTAATGTCTAATTTCAACTGATCCACGAAACTGAGCAACCATTCACCGACGTCTCCAGTGAGTTGATATCTCTCAATAGACCTGATTGAACTCCACTGGTCACTCCTTCTCAGTGGAACTCCAGGAAATACCTCATGGAGCCAATCACTAATAAGCATATGATCATTATTAGAAGAAAGTTCAATTGACTCATGATTTCAACTACGTAAAATTACTAAAGTCTTCACAAAACCCCCTTCTAATACAACTCAGATTTGATGTGACCCCATTATTCTCTTATTTTAGAACAGTAAATTTAATCAAAAATACAAAACACATAATAAGTTCAGTAACAATTACTTTTCTGTTGATCATCAACTTTCACACCAAATTAAATTATTTGCCTTAGCATTTGGTCATATTTAATCAAACAAAATCATTGCACAGAAGAATAGAATAACAAAATAGATCTTCATCAGTAAAACTAAAAAACGGTTTCCTTTCAAACTGAAACTGATTTTTTCTTCTGTAAATATGGTTGTTCAGCTTTGAAAAATAAATTATTCAAAAATAAGTATTTTCTCTAAAATACTTGTGCTATATCCCGAAGAGAATTATGAACGGTAACATTTGAGGACTGTTTATGGACCTATTGTATAATTGCTAAGTAACTAAACTATTCATATTCGTATCCCTCTTATTATGAGCTTTATTTTGACCCATTGACTATTACTGTACGATTAACCATTCTTGAGTTATCCTTAGTCTATTAACTATTGTTCCCTCTATTCACAGCCACATTTGGCTGTGGTATATAAGCCCAGTATGTGTGTAGATTATGATTCATACTGCAGAGGCTGAGATTGGTGTTCTGGACTTAATTGGCTGAGCTAGGCAGAAGGCAGGACCGATTAGTACTCAAGACTGCTCATACAGTTTATCGAGTATTATTGCTCTGATCGATAAGTTCCCTCCTCTCTGATTGGCGGGAACAAGATAATGGCAACTGTTCGAGTAAAAGTTATAATAACCTGTTTTACACGAAGAAATTTAAAAGTATTTTTTCGACTTAGTTTCCATAAATTTCAATCATTTATCCTATTAAAGTCGCGTAAATGAACTTAACTGAAATAAATGGTTATCTGTTCCATCATATATTTCTTTCACTGAGAATGTATATAGATATTTTAACCTTATATGAGTGCGTTACTATAGTTTAAAGTCCACAATCGCCACTGTTTTATAACTCGGATGTATGTGCATAAAATTACTCGTAACTACTAAAGCAGCTAAACTGACAGGACGGAGAAGTGGTTCAATAAACTTGTTCCAATGAGTTGACGTTCAATGGTATATATCAAGGGATTTTCAAATCACTACATTGTTGTTATTCGGATTTTTTGAGAATGTAGCTATCTAGACTTAAATCTTATTAGCGTTCAAATGGGAAATGTTGTAAATCTACCCTTGATCTAGTCAAAGAATCATTATTTCATTAAATCTTTTATTTAATTATACCATCTTCAAGTCTCCTTCAGCTCGAAATTTTAATTTTTTTTTCAAATAGGCATATTGGACTCATTCTTATTTATCATTAATCTACGTTTATTTATTTAGTTATATAATCCTGTGATTTTTTGTAATGATTCTTTTCGGTGTTTTTTGATAAATTACTTATCGTACGATATTTTTTAATCGTATCATCTCGTTCAATCTAGTTAACTTTATTTGTAGTATTCATAGATTATGCTGAAACATGTTCATATTAATTACTGTCAAACTTCATTTTTATAAATTAGTCAAGCTATACGTATAATTTCTGATATGGAACTAACACAGTTTGCAAGCTCTGGACAAGAATCATATAAAACAAAATGAATTTACAACTGATTGACTGCTGAATAGTGATCGATGTCATATACATCAAATCCTTCTTAATGCCAAGCGAATTCAGTCGACCGAATCGTAATGTGGCCACTAATCTAAGTGATTCGACATTATGTGCACTATAATGAAATGTAAGGTGGTGTTTGAAGTAGTCTACATGAAACCCTGAACCTATGTTTTATTCCATTTGACATCCGTTAGTGAAGTTTACGAGTGGTTCTGAGGGAATGGGTGCTCTCTGGCAGACTCCATGTACACCTTGTTGTCGACTGTTAAATGGCACGAAACTTAGGCTCAGAGTTTACTGTATACTGCTTCCAACCACTAACTTAAAAATGAAATAAATTTATAGTATTCTATTCAAACAGTTGTTCTTACGCTTATGCACATTAATTTAAAGGACTTTTGAAGTCAATTTGGTCTTCAAATACAACAAAAAGTACTTGATAAATCTCCTGAGTTTAATAACAAATAATTACTGTTCACTCATGGTTAAAATAAACATCAAAAGGTCATAGAACAGAAGTCTCATCAGTTTTCCTGATATCTTTACCCAAACAAATGAGTAAATCAAATCATTCTAGTCTGGGAAAATCTGAAAACGAGCACATCTGCGTTTTAGGTATCTAAAATAAATATATCTAGTCAATCTCATTTCTCTAACTACATTCAACTTTAAAATACAAAACAAATAGATAACATTTCTTCTTTTAAAAAAAGATCTGGAATCCAATCACCAAAAATAATGACAGGAAAAGAAATTCACGTATGTCACTCGACAATAAACCAACGATTTTCTAAAGTTATAATAAACGAGAATACCACTTAAAACTAAGACTAAAATCGTCTATCATAATACTCAAGCATTTTAAGTTGAAATTCATTACAGTTGCACGGAATCATGAAAACAACGATAAAACTATGATATTATATTTAAGAAGAACAGTGGACAAATCACAACAAATAAAAAAGAATCATATGTTATGGATTTAGAGAAAGATCAGGCATAGATAAATTTCCATAACCACGATAAAGGTATTGCCTCATGTATCTTCCATCTTCTCAACTATATTTCATTTCATCTAATATTACGATCTTCAAATCAACATGTTTAGAATAAAGAACACTTACAATCAGTGACAATTTCTCTCTTTTTTGTTTTCCTTTTCTCTAATTTTGGTCAATAACATATTAATTAAATAAAAAGTGGTTACTTTTTTTATTTTACTTACCAATTTATCCAACGAAGGTAAATTGTATTGATACTTGGAAATTGCTTCGCTCAAATCTCTACCAGCTTCATTCATCAATCGCAATATTTTTAAAGAAGTGGTAACATAACTTGGTGCGTTATAGGACAGAATCAAGTCAGTTGATGAATTTCCCACATCATAATACGTATAATCGGCATGATTTGAACTGTCAGAAACCCTTGAAACATTATGATTCAGTTCGTTTAAACAACTGAAAACATTTCTCAATGTATTCAGGTTGTGATCAATTGATGTCATTGGTCCAATAAATGTTGTGTGTATCAATTGATTTGCAACGAGTATATGACCAACTGTTAATCCAAATGTTGGTATAACTAATAATGATAAACAACGTACACGTGACGAAATTAAAGTACCTATAACAATTGTTATCATGATAAACATATCTGCTCGTTCCTCAACCTCCTGTATAATTTTATACGCTTCCATAATATGCTTTGTGTTGTTCCAAGAATCTTCTGTATAGTTTTCAACGGTTAGATACTCGACTTCCGCCATAACACTGGTATAGAAAATGTTTCTAATAATTAAAACTATCATCTTGCCTAATATGTAACCAAAACTTAAAAAAAAGATACATCGTAGAATAAATATTAAATAATTTCTGTGCATGTGGTTGACCCTCTTATCCTCCTTGTCATTATCATCATAAATTAAAGCTTCCAGGAACGGCCATCTTTTTTTCAGCCAATATCGAAACTTATTATATACGTTTAACTTTTTCGTTTTGAAATCCGATTTAGGGACATAAATAACATACGGTTGTTGTTTTGATGAATCTTTTAATGTCCATCCAATATTCGTATTTTTAGTAGCATATACTTTATCAAGTAAATTGTCAAGCTCTTTTTCACTTGACTTAATATATAAATGAAAGTTTTGATATACTTTCAGTAACTTTAAGTTAGAAACATAACCAGCTGGTCCAAAGAGGAATGACTTTTTAGCACAGTAACAAGACACTTTAGTATCATAAGGTCCTAATGTAGTTCTGATATTAAGATGTCTTCTTAAACCGTTAGTTTGCTCATGTGATCTTATTTTTAAACTTTCTACATTCTTTTTAAACTCATTTTCAAGTATCTGAGTATCATTACACTCTTTGATGAAATCCAAAGGATGACTTAACGTTTTGGCTGATATTTCCTCATTCCCAGTTGACATGAAATCATGAGTGTGAGTATGAGAATCATTGATATGTGTATTGTTCCTTATTTCATGGGGCGAAAATCTAATATTGTGTTGGATAGAAGCTTTTGAACGAGGTTCCGGAATTCGAATAAACCATTTTTTGCATGGAATGTTTGCTAAGACATTTGCATACGTATTTATGTCCAGAAATAATTGGATTATGTGTAAACCAATATTTAAGCTTGAGTACATCCACACTACAGAATTCAACTCACTGGCCAATTGCAAAGTAATAGATTTTGTACAATCACCTTCGTAAACAGGTATAATAAAAGTGATTTTATTATTGTTCCAATCATTATGTGTGTATAGCGTTTGCATTAAACATCGATTTGTTCTATTATGACCACAACTATTGATCAGTAAGAATTCTGTTTGTTTGATAAAGTTCCATAGATCAGACGATAATTCTATAATAATATGATTATGAAAATGAAAGCTTTTCATATAATTGACTGAAAGTGAATATTTGTTCAATAACCAGTTAATTTGAGATTCAACACCACGACAAGTAAAATCATATTGTAACCTTTCTAAGTGATTGATAAGTTGATTTGTTCGATTCACTTATTTTTTTTTTTAAAAAAAGGAGAAAAAATTAAATCAGTTCACACTTTCAATAAAATAACATACATAAACTATTAAATCAAAATATACCCCAAATAAGAAATCATATTTTATACATACTCAAACCATAAGTGATGGAGATCGGATTAGTAGATGAATGATTAGTTTGCAATAATTGAGGAACGTAATAATTAATGGATCTAGAAGAAGAATATATTGCGAAGTATACAGAAATAATAATTATCCATCTATTTAACAACTGTACAATAAATATATATTATAATAGTAATCCATAAAATAATTTCGAAAAACGTCACTTCTCAGAAATTTACTCCTTTACAACATTTTCAATTAATTATTTTATGTACATTTTAAAAAGTGTTCGCAACGATCTGAAAATAGTTTATTTTATAGAAATCACTACTCTTCTAGTCAATCATATTTCACTTAATTTAAAGGAAAATGTTATTGAATTCGCCAGGAAATATCAGTCCCTCAAGGTCACAAGCATACCTTGCTGACGAGCGCAAAATAGCTGGAAACATAAATCCACAGTTTTCTGCCAACTACCTCCAATCGCCACCTTACATCTCAACATGGTACACTCGAGGTCAACGCACTTAGACAAGTGTTCATATTTTAACTTGATTGACAAGATTCAATCAATACTACAGAACAGACAACATCCAACTATAATTATGGAAAAATTTGGTTTTTAATGTTGTAAACTAAAAAAGTAAAAAATGTATTTCATTAGTCTTTAAATACACTAAAAATCGCAAAATCTCGTGATAAAATTTGACTATCCAAACTGAAGAAAGTGGAGTTCATTGAGAACCTAGTTTAAAAGTCGAGAGTTACAAACACTTATAATCATCTGGATAAAGAACAATCGCTGGGCATTCGCTTTTTGTCCTCTCAATTTCGTAGACAACACCCTACCACGGCACAGAAGGCAGTGAGTAGGACTTTATTGGCAGAGGCTATATACGCATGGCCATATGAGAGCATTTTGAGAGGGAGAGCGGACTCTCCCCATTCTCGGCCGTACCAGGACATCTTAAGATACACCTTATTCTTTTAACAGAAAAGGAAAACAAAACGTAGATATAGAGTTTTAGTAAAATTAGGGTGTTCACAACAGCTTTTAAACTTTTTTAGGTATTTCGGGTTATCAAAACGGTATCCTCCTCATGCTATGAAACACTGGATAGTGTAATAAGAAAGCTATTACTAATATACTATTTACTTAGCATATCTCTATTCTTTCGTTTTTTTAATAATCTGAGAGACTGAACAAGTCAAATCATCTGGTGTTCGTCTTTGAAGGTTGTGATTTCAAGTTTAGCTACTACCACTTGTCCAATAGTGCACCTAAAGTCTGATTAATATTTTTATGAATACTATGTTTGTAATTATAAGCCAGATGTACATAAGGAATAAGTAAGTGTTATTTCAGTCCTAGATGTTGTAGAAACCGTCGTCAAGCAGACTTGCGGAATTCCAATCATTCATTCATGATGCACTCTAATATATGTTTTGTTAATGAATAACCAAATGAATTTTATTCATGTGCTCTAAATCTTTTATAAATAAACTATTTTACAAATGTGGTCTACTGTTAAAATGGTTTCAAGTACTTAACCACAATAATGGGAGTGTAACTTACGTAAGTTCAGAATAATATAGAGTTAATGACGTATTTAACCCCAATGACCTGTCTATATTTTGATCGTAGGGTAGACAAAAAGACAAAATTATTGGTAAGTGTAAAATAGTAGTGAAGTGATAATATAAATGATGACCCCATCATCTTAGCCATACATGCATCTAATTCTTCTCAGATCTTTCATAACACCTTGACTAATCCTTATAAACATTAATATTGTCATCATTGAAATCACTATTTCGATGTCATCTCGAAACTACCATTAATTTTATTATCTTATTTGACATATCTACAAACATTTGGACTTGTGTTTGTGGTTACGTACATCATGAACTTCAAATAATTCTTTTTTCATCTAAACCAATTTTATACGATCAACTTTTATGAAGTGGATTAATAAATTGCTCTAGACATTTTCCTCAAAATATTAAATCTATAAAGCGTTAAAGAGATTGTTCTGTTGAAATATCATCTAATGAATCCTACTGAAAAATAGGTATAAATGAGAAATCTCAGTATTGATGCCACAACACTATTTCAGCCTACCTAGTATTATGCATCCATCTTACAGCAAGTGATGAAACCTAGGACTTCCATTTTGAGCGCCAGGTATGAAATCACTGGAACGGCGCTCAACCGTCTTAATCATGGAACGTTATTTTAACACCCACGTCAGTAAGCCTAGTTTGGCCTAAAGACAACCTGATCGATCAGCTGGCCTAAGTCTAGCGAACTGATAACATTGAATTTAGGCTTATGTTATGCCTAGATAACTGATTGTTCCTAGCAAGCAATGATTTTAAGAATAAACGATGGACATAAATAGATCATGAATGTAAGGTATCGTTTAAAGGCTTCCACAGACGACTCTAGCTCCTTTTCTCTTAGACCTTGAGTTTATAAACTATCTCATATTTTAGATTCCATAAATCAATTTTCTCTGGAATCCTGTTCTGCATGTCTAATATTTCTTAATACTTCAGTAACTCTTATTAATTCTACTATTTTATCGTTTATCCTAGTAGTTTTATCCCTGTGGTTAGCAACTTGAAATGATGCGCATATATGTTAGGTTTTGCACTAGATGTGAGTAACTGATAGTTTTCTTGTAATTACTATTAAATATAATATCATTCGGATTTCAAATGCTTATCTATTAGTCAACTTTTATTGATCTTCCTTTATTTGTAATAGAATTAACCAAACCAAATAGTTCATTACCAATTATTTTTAAATGCCTACCTGAAAATTCTGTCGATCCAATAGCATCAATTATCCTATACATATAATTTGAAATATCTTCTTTTAGTAAACTTATATCATCTATCAGAATTAGCATTGTATAAATGCTAAGCACTAATGAGAATAGTATGTAAGGTAGGATTAATAAATTCCAAAGATATTTTAAATAATTTTTAATTATTTGCTGATAATAATCCAAATCATTGAAGTTTAATCTGACTATCAAAACAATAATCCAATAAAATATACATATCGACGACCCGCATAATATAAAAATAATTTTTGGAGATAAATGACTTTTTAGTCGATGTACTGTATCCAATTCTATATCTATTTCTCTTGAAACTAGATTTGTTGGTAGATGAGACATTGAATTACATAACATAATAATATTATGAATAAAAATTAAAAGTGTTATAGATATGCTAAGTATACATGAATGTAACTTCCACATTATTGTTGAAATACTTCAAGAAGTTCAATATAATAATTGACTTTTCTAATAAAGTATTCACTTCTTTAACTCATTTTGTTGCTCTGGTAATTTCATTTCATTATTTAAAAGAATTATGTTATATTGATTATTAGTCACATGAATAAGGTAAATATTGATAATTATTCATAATCAGTCAGTTTTAAAGAAGGAAATGTCATAATTGTTTTAGCTTATATATATATATATATATATATATATATATATATATATATCCTGATTCATCGTGCTATGATGATTTGCTCGGATGACATTATTTTAGATGAATTGGTTAATATTCGCAACTTGCTTAGTAGGAATGGGTACCCAATGAAATTCATCGACAAACACATGAAGGAAACGAAAAGACGGCCTAAGATACCTACCGCTCCGAAGTAGGTATTGTTCCTAAAGTTACAATTCTTCAATGATGCTAAGGAAGAAATCGTGACACAGAAGTTAAGAAAAGCAGTACAGAAAACATTTAATGCAGCCCGACTGAGTACCGTCTTCTACAACCGCCCCACAATAAGAACTGTAAATAAAGACAGACTGCCTGAATTTGCCACATCTATGTGTATTTACCAATTCAACTGCTCCTGTGGAGCCAGTTATATAGGGCGTACAATTTGGCAAGTTCATCAACGAATAACAGAACATCATCCGTCGTGGTTGAGCAAAGGACAGGTAAAAGTGACTAAGAGTTCTGTTCTCGCTCACTTGGTGGACATAGGTAATCAGGTTGAATTGAATAAAGCTTTTAAGGTTATCCACCATATTCCATCAAATTTGCCGCATGGTTTACAAGCCCGTCTATTGGACATAGCTGAAGCCATCGCAATTCATATTCACAAACCGAACCTTTGTATCCATAAGAAGTTTTTGCAATCACTCGTGATACCTTGGCCATCGGTATAGCGGAGTTTGTAGCAGAACTTTGGTAAACAATTATCTTATTTCATAATTGAAAGCATGAGTCAATTGAAACTAGATCACCATCGAAAACCTGGAAACACTGGACGACCGTTCCGTCATATTATGGGACTCCTCAACAGTGCGCATCCACGATCCCGCACTCGCGAGACTCGAACCCAGGATCTACCAGTCTCGAGACAGAGTCCTTAACCGATAGACCACTGAGCTGGCATCCAATGGTGTTAATGTCTATCTTATTCCTTATTATTGTGAGATAACAACTCATTGAAGGCGATTGCTGAATGGTTGCCCATAATTCGTCTATCGGTTGGAGTTAGACATTAACACCATTGGATTCCGGCTCAGGGGTCTGTCGGTTAAGGGCTCTGTCTCGAGACTGGTAGCTCCTGGGTTCGAGTCTCGCGAGTGCGGGATCGTGGTTGCGTAATGCTGATGAGTCCCATAATAGGACGAAACGACCGTCCAGTGTTTCCAGGTCTTCGATGGTGGTCTAGCTTCAATTGACTCATGATTTCAACTTTGAAAAATACTGAAATCTCCACAAATCTCCTTCTGATTATAATAATGTATTAAAGACAATGACTACTTATTCTAGTTGATCATCATACGTTCACTGCTAGAAGCTAATATCTAATATTTAATTTGAAACTTCGACAACAATAAAATGCACAAATGTACACTTTCATGTTTTTAGTTTATATCTTCTATTTGTTTACAGAATCATTTGTGACATGAAAATTCGGTTCACAAATAATTGAATATTTCACAAAGGATGTTGATCAAAGTTTCCTTGGTAAAGAGACTATTTCGACTATAAATTCCTTCAGTATTACTTGTTTGAATCTACCCATTGATGTTTTGGAATGCAACGGGTCAGTCTCTTATTGACATATGTGCATACTGTGCGTATTGCCTCAACATTGCCTTCATTCACAAGCATTATAATCAAAGATGGATAGTGGCTAGCAGTGGAATCCAGGACACGTGTTTAGTCCTATTTGGAACTCATCAGCTGGGTGTACCTCCATCTCAGAGTTGATGTTCAATGGGTTTGAGTCCCAGAGAGAACATTTCGTCATATAATAAATAAAGCATTCTAATAAGATTATTTTGAGACAATTAATTAAAGGTAACTAATTTTTTCGTTTAATTTTCTATCATTTAACACAAGTTGAAAAACAATCTCAAATTCATAACAACCCACAAAATTACAAAAAAAAGAACAAAACACAAAAAAACCATTGACTCGATCAATTTATATTTTTTGAAAAACAATATTGATTTTTAATTCAACCAGATCTTTTTTCTGGTTCATACTACTGAATATAAAATTGAATACTTTATTTATAAAAAAAAGTGAAAAGATATAAAGTACTAAGATAAGCTGTTAGATTATTGTAGGATCTTCTGCAATATAAGAATGAATAGAAGAATTACTATTGTTACGAATTATATTTCGATTTTGTAAAGAAGATGGTCGTATATTACGTGTTGGAACTTGAGGAATATTTCGTGATCTGTTATAATTATCTTGATCTATTTCACTATCACTTGGTCCAGGGGATCTCTCAAATTCTGATTCATCATTATCAATTTCTCGATTTTGTAATCCACGATTTCGAACTGTTAAAAATTAGATAAACATTTTAAGATTAGACATTATGTTGTGGATATTTCAATCTAGAAAGTTTTAAACAAAGATGACTAACCAAATAATTTGAAGAGTGATACGTATATTTCAGAAAACTAGTTCATTTATATAAAATAATTTTTGCTAAATAATTATCTTTCTAGTAATAACATGCAATCCTTATTAATAAGTACTCTTTAAATCCTTGATTTTTTTTCCCATTAAATCTACAATTTATATCTTAACCTTAATTAGACCAAAGAGTTTTTCAACAAATATATGTTCGTAATCCAACTTTAAAAATTTGTAGCATTTATGGATTTTTTAATTTTTTTGGGGGAAAAAATCATTTCATATCACGCAATGTTTTTCTTAAACAAAAGTCGACTTAACTACCTGGTCTGTTTTGGAGTAGATATTTACGTTTTCCTTCTTCACGTGAATATTTTTCGTTTGCTGTTTAATTGTTAGTGTAATTAATTTAAAAGACCAAAGTTTTCAAATTAATAGGTATATAGAAGACTACATAATCAAGGTGTTTATTACTAGTTGTCCCCAAATGCTTAACCTCTAGACCATTGGGCCGGCACCCGACGGTGTTGATAAATATTAGTTCATGAGAAGCCGTGACCAGTGGAGTCCGACTGTGTCAAATGTGAGACAGTTGCCCACAGAAGACAATAGAAGATGATCGCACACTATCTTAGTTTGGCTGAATTTAGAAGTTAACACTGTTAGATGCCGGCTCAGTGGTCTGTAGGTTAGGTGTTCGCGCGAGATCGGAGATCCTGCGTTCGAATCTCGCGTGAGGGATCGTGAATGTGAATTGCTGGGGAGTCCCATACTAGGATGAAACAGACGTCTGATGCTTTCAGGTTTTCAATGGTCGTCTAACATTGATTGATTCATGATCTCAATTACAGCTCGACAGCCTCCACAACCCTATACCGAAAAAGACTAAATCTAATGAAAACAGAATCATTCCATTAAAAAACAAACATCACGATATATCAACTTCTTATCTCCTAGTATATGTATACATAATCGAGATTTCTGATAACAATGCTTTTAGAAACTGTAATAATAAAGAAGACAAAATATAAATGCAAACTAATACTCCTTCGAAGGATCGGCCACTTAGAGTTCATTGTCTTTTTTATTGCATTCTCAGGATAAATCTTTGAATAAACTATTCAATTCAAGCTTATTAAAAACATTTATATGAAAGGAGATCGAACGATTTAAACCTCCTAACCAAACAATACGATAAACTTGGATGACGTATTTTGAAGAAAATACTATTGGATTCCCGAAATTAAAAATTATGCTTTTGAATTTTGTATAACAGAGATCAATGAAAAATAGTTTTGATCATTATGTCTTCAAATTTTGATCTCATGAGCCACGTGATAAGAAGTTAGGAAGAATAAAAATATTTACTTTCTGATTCACTAGGGGACCAATGATCGTCACTTTCATTTCCATCAACATCGGCATTGGTAGGTCGTGACAGTGGGTCACCTAACGAATGTCTTGATCCTGAAAAAGCTTGATAATTGTGTTCTGGAAGATGATACAAAAATTGAGCATCAGGATCTCCTGGTTGAGCATATTCAGGGCTGAAAATTTCAGTTTGAAAGTAGAAAAACTGAGCTTAACTGAAACATTTCACCAAGGACTTACTTCGAAATATTTTTCAACATAATGAATGAATTTTTAAAGCATTATTTTATTTATGACAAATGTTTTTAAAGAAACAATTATAACAAATAATATAAAATGTCTTTGCTGGAATTTATACACGATCACTTTCATTACAAATAACTTGATATCTAACATAACTTATCTTCATTCAAGTTAGTTTACTTCAAATCAAATGTAAAGAGATATTCTAGTTATAAAGCAACTTCTTTTATAGGTCAGTTTCAAAAAAAAGAATATCTAGTTACACCCATAAATGAGACATCTTTCTAAAGCATCATATGAAATTAGTCAGTTCTCATGGTCTTCATCATTGGTCATCTACAAGAACTTTGTTGTCTTAATCTCCTACTAAAAGTGCATCGCAGGATTTGCTAGGTCAAAAACTGCTTGACCTAAACCACAAGAGGCTGGCAAATCAGTTATATGAAAGTATATTCATTGAGATTTCCAGTCGCAGAAATTCTGTAGCCCTCTTAAAGCATCAATGATCCTGAATTTCTACATTTCTAAAAATTGAATAACGCATTTAGTGTAAATGATAGTAGTAAGACTTTGCTTTTGGAATCGAGCTGGACGTAAAGAATCTCGAACATGAGATTCAGCATTTGAAAGTCAGTTTACCTAAGTACCTGATTCCCTGGATGTATTCCATCAACTCATCCTAAACTATTTTAAATCTTCACAGTTGAAATTATGAGTCAATTGAAGCTAG